TAAATAAACTGATCGGACTTGATTAGAAAAGGAACACACCTGTCTATTTCATACCTTCCAGCTCACAGTACATGTCAGAGCAAACGAGAATCATGAGGTTGAAGGAACTGCCCAAGGAGCTCAGAGGCAGAATTGTGTCAGTGCACAGATCTGGCCAAGGTTACAAAAGAATTTCTGCAGCCCTCAAGGTTCCTAAGAGCACAGTGGCCTCCATAATCCTCAAAAGGAAGACATTTGGGACGACCAGAACTCTTCCTAGACCTGGTCATCTGGCCAAACTGAGCAATCATGGGAGAAGAGCCTTGATGAGAGAGGTAAAGAAGAACCCAAAGATCTCTGTGACTGAGCTCCAGAGATGCAATAGGGAGATGGGAGAATGTTTCACAGTCAACTATCACTGCAGCCCTCCACCAGTCAGGGCTTTATAGCAGAGGGGCGTAAATTCTAAGGGGTATGTGAGGAGAAAACCGGGCACTGCTCATCACCTGCTAAATAAAATCCCAACAATGAAACATGGTGGCGGCAGCATCATGCTATGAGGGTGTTTTTCAGCTGCAGCGACAGGACGAGTGGTTGCAATTAAAGGAAAGATTAATGCGGCCATGTACAGAGATATCCTGGGGAAAAAACCTCTTCCAGAATGCTCAGGACCTCAGATTGGGCCCGAGGATCACCTTCAAACAAGCACCCTAAGCACACAGCTAAAGTAACAAAGGAGTGGCTTGGGAACAACTCTGGCCATTCTTGACTGGCCCTAACCTAAACCTAATTGAGCATCTCTGGAGAGACCTGAAAATGGCCGTCCACCAACGCTCACCATCCAACCTGATAGAACTGGAGCTCTCTTCCCCATGAGGTCAGAGATCAGAACAAGGGAGAATGGCAGAGGATCCCCACATCCAGGAGTGAAAAACTTGTTGCATCATTACCAAGAATGGCTGCACTGGCACAAAAGAGTGCTTCAACTAATACTGAGCCAAGGGTTTGAATACTTATGACAATGTGATATTTGTTTTCCTCAATAAATTAGCAACAATTTCCTACATTTCCTACTTTTTTTTCTGTCAAGATGGGGTGTTGAGTTTATATTAATGAGAAATAAAATTAACTTGAATGATTTTAGCAAATGGCTGCAATGAATCAAAGAGTGGAAATTTTAAAGGGGTCTGAATACTTTCTGCACCCACTGTAAATCAAGATCACGTAATTTAGTCAAACTGATAAAATAATTGTTATTTTATTCTGACTCCTAAAGATGGATGAAATGCTCCCTCTAGCTTAGGAGCACATGTACTGCAGAACCAGCTCCTCCAGTAAATCTGCTGGGAAAGACATTAGTAACCAAGCACCTGAAACGAATCAAAGATGACGTGTTTAAAACACATAAATTATTTTAATTCAACTTGTTCTCTTTACATTTTAATGTAAGTCTAGTTTAACACAAGTTAAATGTTACAGATCACAGAAACAGGGGCGGATCTAGAAAAATATTTATGGGGTGGCAAGAGGGGGGCAGGAATTTTTGAGGAGTGGCAACATATGGCATTTGTTTACACTGAATTTAATCACAGTTATCAGTTTGGTGAGTAGTATGTACAGTAAGTGTTTCATTTGAAACAGTTCATATTAGAAATACATCGTACAATGTGATCTCACTTAATAGGAAATAGAAGAATGATAACACTACTTCTAGAGGGGCATTATCACAGGTATTAAGGTAAGACACAGGTGCTGAGTCGCAGATGTGTGAGATTGACTGTCAGAGAGGCAGCTTTGCAGCATTTGCAAGAAGAAACTATAGAAAGAAAAAGTTACCCATCAGAGATCTATGGACTGAGCTGTACTAAAGTGAGCATCACTACACAGTAGAAATAAATGGGTCAAGGCACCCAAACAAGGGACCAGACATCTATGTAATGTTTACTCTGAACACACATTTACCACATTTGTTCCTCAGTAACTTGACATACAGCAGTTACGGCAACATGAAAGGGACATTTCATGCATGTAGATATGCTGTAGATAGAGCTGCTGTATCAACAAATCAACAAAAAGGCAGGTACTGTATGTTACATCAAAATCTCCACAAATCTGAAAAGAAGCAACATAAAAATAAATTTTGCTTCCAGTCTGAAAAAGTACAAAACATTTTGTGAGTAGGTTCATACAGGTCATTTCTGGATAGATTCATACTATATATACAAAAAAAAGAAACAATACTGCTTCATATTAAGCAGGATTTACACCAGTATCACATTTTTAACTTTACTTTTGACAATTTTGGTTTTATTAAAAGGAAATATCAGATTTTCTCAGGTGCCAAAACAAAATGTAGCAGCTCAGTAAAGGCTCACCAAAGAGCATAAAATAAAGTTGACATGACTATTAACAGCTGAATGCGACAATTTCCATGTTGCTCAGCAAAACACTTCACAAATGTATTAGATCCAATGCCTTTGTGCGTTTTGATTTGAGTACAACCAAACTCATCGTCTCTTTTCTGTCATAGTTGACCGAAAATATGTCTTTATGAGGCTGAGACATCAGGCCTAACTAACATCATAGTGAAGAGAATAAATGTTCTGCAACCTGATTTTTATCATCTTAAAATCAGCATTGCAGCTATGCTAGCAACATTGTGCTTTCATTATGATTTAATTTCTCGATAGATAGTTAATCAGTTTTACCTGTTTCATCCCGTGTCTCCTCTCCCCATCACCCCTGGCTCCCTCGCTTTGCCTCATTCGGTTTTAAAAACAAATCATTCTCAGTCGCTCTTGCGTCATGTCGTGCTGCATTCACTGCAGTCCGACATTGGAAATTAGCGGTCATAATTCTCAAATTATCCATAATTTATAAGCCTGGCCACCCCTACCACCAACTGGGGTGGCAGCAGGGGTGGCAAGGCTGTCATTTAGGGAGGCATTTGCCACCCTATGCCACCCCAGTAGATCCGCCTATGCACAGAAATATAACTCTTACTCACTTAAAATTGTACTTGACCTGAAAAGTTTATTTTTTGTAAAAACAAGAAAACATTTTTTAAAAGGCAGATGAGTTAACCAACCCTGTCTTTGAAACCAGGCTGGTATTTTTATGTCACAGTCTTCTTAAAATGGTTGACATTAAAAACATTTTTCATGCCTCTGAGCTTAAGTCAATGGTTGACCTTTGTGGCAGTGATATTCTCTCTTGTCTGGGCTTTAAAACGAATTAATGTACAGAATTACATTTTAAACATATAACATTGGTTTTTACACCTTAAGAGACACCTTCCTGAAATGAGCCAAATGCAGAAGTAAATCTGTGCTGCAGACGTCCATTTTCCTCCACTCACCCAAAGTTGCTATTTGAAACCCCCTCCCCAGCTTTGTCTAGATGCTAACAACTAGCCCAGGCAACTCCATCATCCTATAAAGAAGGAAGGCAACATGTCCAAGGCTGAATCCGTTCTTCCTACGGATGTATCCTGTACGTTACCATCTTGTCAGGATGAAGTAGGACCAGCTGTTCTGTCCCTCTTGTCCTCTATCCAGATCCGCACGGACGGACCTCTCAACCTCGAAGGAGGGATCCACTTTTTTTCCAAGTTTATTACCACTTTGGATCAACAAGAGCCTACTGTTATCCAAGAGTTATGGTTCTGGCTTAAAGATGCAAGCACCACCACTTTGATGAAGGAGGAGGAAAAGATGAAACCCTGAGGTCAAGCCAGGAACCCACAGTCCAAAAATCAGGGCAAACTGAAAGGCAGTTTAGGATTAGAGTCCTATTTGTGGACACATCTGCTGCTTTGGGTCAGACAGATTCATCCCTTGAACACCTTGGATAAAACCTAAAGTTCTTAGAAAAGCATGTGGACTGAGGATGCACTCAGCAGCTTCTTGGGCGGGGGGGGCGGTGTGTTAAGATCTGCAGACACAGAAGGTGATTTGTACCAGAACGCAAACTAAGCAAATCCATTTTTTCCCCCTGCCACATAAAGTGGTTGTATCTCAGTGACGGTATAACAAACCCAAGCTTTCCCACAGACTGAACCTCTAGTTTCTCCAGTTTTCCTTTTCTTCCATGTGATACAGCAGCAGGAAAGAGAAACATGTCCATGATAACTAGGGTTGTCAAAAGTATCGAAACTCAAAAAAGTATCGATACTGAAATGTTGTATCCGGATACAATACTCGTTTTTAAAAGTATCGATACAGTGCTACCACCAGTGGCACCTAAGCAGTCATTCAGCTAAAGTGCAGAATAGAGGAAAATGCACTTTCTGAACACTGTGTGATTGAATAATTCTGTGCACTTTTCAGTTTCAGACTTTTTTTGTAACAGGTGCAGCTGCTGAGAATTATTTTTGTTTCTTAACCAGTTTGGCTTTATACGTTTTTTATCAAGCTTGCTTAATATTGTGCACAGCATAAAACCTTTATTGTATTTATTTATTGTATTTTATTTATTAATGAAAATATTTCTGTAGAATTTTTGAGACTTTGTTTTTATCCTTGTGGTATCGAAAATGGTATCGAGTATCGAATATTTTCCTTAGTATCGGTATCGAGTTGAAAAGTTTAGTATCGTGACAACCCTAATGATAACACACCAGGGGTCTATTTCATTAAGCAGGTTTAACAAATTCAGATTCAAATCCGCAACTCTAAATTGATCCAACCAAAAAACGTGGGAACTCTGAGTGTTCGGCTGCTATCAATTAGTTCAATCGATTTTAACTAGGTCCACTCAGAGTTAAATGCTGATAATGTGAAAAACCATTATCAGTGGAGCACCGATTCAACAAGTCACCATGACAACAGGCAACGGGAAATGCCTATTTCCCCCCCACTGGAACTAGAGATTTTGATGCAGAAATGCAAAGATATCGAAAAGGAGAATGTGTTTAAAAGACAGAGAAACATTGCTACAGCTCCAAAGGAGAGGAAGATGGCAAAGGAGAAGATTGTTGCTTGAGTTAATGCAGTGGGCTATGGCAGGCCATAACAGACCAGACCAGACCAGACCAGGTTAGCTCTGGAAGAATGTTACTATGGCGACTGAATCAGAGGTTGAGGAAACTCTCTTTGTGAAGCTGAAAAGTCAGTTTCCCTGTTCAGGTTTAGACTGCTTAGAGTTTTCTATAAACCTGCTTCATGAAATGGACACCAGACTGCAGGACAGATGGAACAATAGGAGATGGTTGGATAATAATTTGCCATGCGGCAGAAACAGTTCTGGATCGTTTCATCTCTGTAACAGATTTGAAGGACAGTTAATAAAAAAAAGAAGAGAAAAATGAGGTCAGATGCCGAACTCTCTATTCCTGCATGGCAACGGTAGGATAGATGTGGGTCACTGCCTTGGTCAAGCTGGAGGGTTGTCTTTCACCAGTGCCTGGTCTCGATCAGCTCGGACCGCAGGCTAAGCCTCTTCAGAGTCTCATATCCAACCACGATGAGCACAGAGGTGGGTGTGGAGGAAATGATGCGAGCCGACAGCCCTTTGGTAACCATCCAGACGCCCTCCTCCGCCAGCAGCAGCTTGAACGTCTCCACCACAGACGATCGGCCCTCCACCTTGGAGGAAGAGAGGATGTTTGATTAGAAGATAAACATAGTTAAGGGTTTTTCTCTCAAAGAGAAACAAGGTTTAAAGCAGGTTAAAGGAAGCGCTTCCAGATTAGGGTTCTGTTATTTTTTTAATTAATTTTTTCTACATGAGTGAAAGCCTCTTATTTTGACATATAAGCATGAGGATACATTTCAGGTAACAAGGATAAACCTGTCTGGTGTGTTTGAGTTCATTGTCAACATAGACGTAAGCAGATTGATTTATACGATCGTTCTCAGTGTAAAAATAAAAGGAGAATTATTAAAGCTGCAGTATAACATACCGTAATCTAGTGTGGATCATATGAAAGAAGAGAAAGGTTTTAGGTTCTGGCTGAATTATGATTTTTGATGTAATATTTCCTTAATTTCAGGGAGGGGTTTGGTTTTCTATCCAAGGATTATTTTTTGTACTAGTGGTTCCTACTGTAGAATGGGAGGCAGATCTTTTAGTTATCAGGCTCCTCTCCTGTGGAACCAACTACCAGTTTTAGTCCGTGAGGCAGACACCCTGTCTACTTTTAAGGCTAGGCTTAAAACTTTCCTTTTTGATAAAGCTTATAGTTAGAGTGGCTCAGGTTATCCTGAGATATCTCTATAGTTATGCTGCTATAGGCTTGGACTTCTGGAGGACATAGGGACCCCCATTTAATCATTCTGCTTCATTCTCTCTCTATTCTCTTATTCTGTAGAATCTGTTAGTTCAATCTCTAACGTTCTGCTCTCTCTAGGATTTTTCTCATAGTAGTTTCATCTTGTCTGTTCCTGTTTGGCTGTGACTCCATCCTGGAGAGAAATATCAGCTGTGCTGCTTCTATCAACACCTTTGTTTATAGATGCTGGAGATCGGCCTGTTTTCCAGTGTGGTCCTGTGACTGGGTGGATGTGCTCTCTTCATCCTCTGGCATGGGAGCTGGCTCGGAGCTCGTCTGCCTGGCTGTGTGTTTCCTGGACGGGGCCGCCTGTGGAGCTGCTTTTTGTGTCTCTGCTTCTGTCTCCTTGAACCCCAGTCGGCCTCAGCAGATGGCCGCTCACACTGAGCCTGCTTCTTCTGGAGGTTTCTACCTGTTCAAAGGGAGTTTTTCCTCTCCACTGTCGCTACAAGCATGCTTAGTGTGAGGGATTGCCTTCGAGTCAATGCAATCAACTGGTTTTCCTTAGATAGAAAACTTTGTATCAATTTGACTGGATGATCTGGTTGAACTGTAAAGTGCCTTGAGATGACATGTGTTGTGAATTTGGCGCTATAGAAATAAACTGAGTTGAGTTGAGTTGTTTTCATGACGTTCTGGCCACATGATGGGAATCCTTCCCTCCATCCTGTTGTTGCCATCATGAGAGAGTTTTGCCTGATAAGACCATTTCTAAATGAATAAAGCTGTTTGTTGAACCTGCTAAGCTTTATATTTAAGAAGATGTGTACATTCAATTCTGGAGCTTCTGACACATTTAATAGTGGTAAAAAAGGAACTTTGTTACCTTGTGCTTCTAAAAACAATCTTGACGTTTAGCTCCAGATCGAACTACCCAAACCCATGTGTTGTCACATCAGAGGATGACCTCTGGTGGCTACCATGCTGTTGCCTGGAGGAGCTGCTCCTGTACTGAGCTCTGTTGCCAAATATGCCGTGTGGAAAACCACATTGGAAATGTGTGTGATCCAAATAGCCTCTTAGCTTTATTATCCGTTTTAGTCATCCAAGTGTCCAGGTCTGACTTCCTTTCTGGCTCATATGTTTATTTGTTTTGTGTGCTTTTTTCTGTCAAAATGGCAGATAGGACAGGGCCGTCCATCAGGCAGCAGCACCAAGGAGCTTCATTGTTCACAAGCTTATTTGGTTTTGTTCTGTCTCTCAGGTATGAACAATACATATCAAACATTTACCTCGTGAGATTTGTAAGTTCACCGACTCTCGAAAATACATCTTGGAAGAAAAACAAAGATGGCTGCTCTGGCTTTAACTTGTTACCCTCTTTTTTTTTTTAAGCCAGCAAAATGAGGCGATTGGTGCTTTTATGAATAAGAGGGTGTTTGCTGGTCCCCCCTGACCGGATTTGATAAGAGTTTGATTTATCAGTCAACTCTGCGAAACAAACCAAGAATGGGATACGTCACAGCTGCTACTGCTGCTGTGATTGGCTAAGAACTCAACATTTATTCATCTGTTGACTGATAAAAAATTTTTTATTCTGTTTATTTCTATAGCTCCAATTCATAACACCTCATCTAAAGGCACTTTACAGTTCAACCAGATCATACAGTCAATTCGATTCAAAGTTTTCTATCTAAAGGAAACCAGTTGATTGCATCCACTTATTGACTCGAAGGCAATCCCTCACACTAAGCATGCTTGCAGCGACCGTGGAGAGGAAAAACTCCCTTTGAACAGGAAGAAACCTCCAGCAGAACCAGGCTCAGTGTGAGCGGCCATCTGCTGAGGCCCACTGGGGTTCAAGGACACCGTTTTTTGCCTGGTCATTCCCTAAAATTCCTTTTCTGGAAATGTTTTCTTACAGAGACATTTATGGAACATTCATCATTCCGGTGAAGTTCTTTATTCACAAAGCTAAATACCTTAAAGTCCAACCCAAGTTTTCTGTGTTTCACAATAATCATTTTGTTATACTTCCAGGCCCTTAAAGCAATATTTTGGTCACATAAATCTGACCAAAAGAACGAGACCCCCCCAGCGAAACATGGTGGCTGGCTTCAAATTGTCCTCAAAATAGAGACGGCTCATTCCTTCATGGGGGGTGTGCTTTAGAATCCAGTATTAATCCTATGATGGCTGCTTATTTGGAAACTTTTTTTTAGGATGTTCTGGTCCCTTCCTAGGATGAACTCCAGATGCTGCCATCTTCCTTTTTTTCCATTGAACCTGCTAGCCTTATTGGCTATTTTGTTCTTAAGTGGAAAAGCCAATGGCAAACTTGCATGGACCCAAACCCATCATAAGACGCTTCAATCTTTCCTCTGAAAGCAGCTTTCTGACTTGCATCCTGAGGTTCAGTCAGGAGCTACCAAATCTACAGATCTGAGGTTTGAATATGAACATTTCTTATAAAATGCTGAGTGATGAATTCTTTGTCATAATTACAAAGAAGTCCTGTAATCATGTACATGGTCCCATTGGTCTGTGGAATGTATGCAAAGGTGCCAACCTGGACTCTTGCACGGACAACATCCATGGGGTTTGTGATGGTGGAGGCGGTAGCTGCTGCCATTGGTCCGGCCACAGCCTGCAGGATCAGGTGGGGACACCCACTCGGTGCCATTAAGGACAGTTTTTCTAGAAAAACACACCATATTAAACAGATTGATCATGCTGAGTAAGAGAGCTGGTTGTTGATTCAGAAGACATTTTGTCTGGTTTGTTCATCTGTGTCAGTGCTGGCAGAACACACTGAACCAATGGGTGTATTTACCTCCATAAAAGTGATAAAAAGGCCACCAGAGGGCGCTGTTGGGGATGTATGTGAGCAGCGACGCTACATAACCCCTGTAGAACCCTCTGAAACCATCCGCTGCCAGTATCTGCACTGTTATGTCCCGCGTTTGCCCGAAGGTAGGCTTGCATTTGGTTGTGGCAAGCATCACCTTGGGTTTGACCTTGAAGCGGGTCAGATGTTCCCCCTGCCCCTGCATCATCAGGTGCTGGGACACTATATCGATGGGAACGGTGATGGTCTGGGCCACCAGCGACGCCGCTCCTCCGGCCACCACTGACTTGACCGTGTTGCTCGGTGAGTAGTTCGACGTGTACTTGCGCACCAGTTCATAGGTGGTGATGTACGCCTGTCCTGAGATCAGAGTGAAGGTGTTGACCATGAAGCCTCGGTAGAGGCCTCCAATGCCTTCCGTTCGCAGGATCTTGCAGAAAGCATCAAAGGTGCCTGAGTATAAGGCCTTCCCTTTCTGCACCTGCAGCCGGGTCCGGATCAGGCTGGCTGGATAAACGGTGGCCCTGGTGGTCAATGTCATGAATACACCTAGGGAGTAGAACTTCCTCTTGTCCAAATCCTCCCATTCAATGATCTTGAGGGAACCTTTCTGTTGCATGCTGCCGTCAGGCTTTGAAGCCACAGCTACGCTGTCCTAAACCTCAGTGCTTCCATACCTGCAAAGAACAGAATTATTGAATGAATCAGAAGATGTAACATCTTTTTTCCTTCCATTCATCTCTGCCTTTCTCTACTTCCACCTATTTTTTTTCATAGTCGTTCAGACAGCAGCAGACCAAAGCAAATCAGCTGGGATTAAAACAGATGAAAACCTCATTATATAAAAGCGTTATAAAAAAAAGCAATATAAAAGCATTCATGCAGCTGGAAATTACACCCAAAATCTAAAATGGGTTTTAATGAATTGCGATGTCATAGATCATTAACAGAAGAAAGCAAAGCATGTTTTTCTTTTTTAACCATCAGAAAACCTGAGTGTTTAATGCAACTAAAACTAAATCAGCCTGGTGTCCTTTGCAGTCTTAAGTTGCTTTTCTTCCACATATTTTCCTGTCCACTCTGACAGCTTCTTCTGTCCCACTAAGGTGAACCACTGTCACACTGGTAAACTCTGGATTTTTGATGATGGGTTGGACTGTTGGACCATTTAACCAAAAGATCGACCCATGTAGTTTTTCTTGGCTGATGCCAATACCACTTACCGTATATTGACATCTTTCTAACTGAACATGCTGCCAATATTTTTGGACTGATTCCAAAAATATTGAATATAGCTGTTTATTCAATATTGCATGCATATGCCAATGCATATGCCTGCATATGCATTGGTCGATTACTAATTTCATACAGAATGGTTTGCATCCAGAATGTGTGGGATCTGCAGATATGTTACGCCCCCTCCTGACCATAGACCCCCTACATGACCTGGATGCAGGGGGTGATATAGGAAATTTTGGGTCCTAGGCAAAGTCAGGCAGGGGGCCCTCCGAATTGAGAAGACAACACATAAAACAGATCCATTATACAGATAGAGAAATGTTAATAGAATAGACATACGTTATTTGTTCTACGCTTTGTCCCTCTCTACTTGTTATTTTCCTCTCTGTTTTGTACTCAGCTGACTTTTCATGCTGTCTCAAAAGCAATGATTGCTACGGAAGAGGATTAGGGCCACTGGAAAAAAAAAAGTTAACTGATTTTTAAATTTTATTTCAGTCTAGTATGGGGAAAAAAGTCAGAATTCTGACTTTAATCTCAGAATTCTGACTTTAATCTCAGAATTCTGACTTTTTTATTGTCAGAATTCTAAGATTAAAGTCAGAATTCAGACTTTTTTCCGCATACTAAACTGAAATAAAATTTAAAATCAGTCGTCGAGGAACGAGGAAAGGATCCAGTTCATCCCCAACTGCAGTAAAGCAATATCCAACCATAGAAGACCAATCAGTCCTGTAAACGTTTTATCCATCAATCAATAACGTGTTTTTATGTTTTGAAGGAAGAAGGAAGCACGTGCCAGTCGCAGCGTGGTATTCCCAGCTTCGACATTTCCGTTCCAATAACTCAGCAGCGGAACAGCCTTTCTACAAAACCAACAACTCACTCCAGTCGCAGCAAAGTTACACTCATGTTGTTCTCTAAAGGGGACGTCTTTCGCACTAGAGGCTAGGCATTGCTCTCCATGCGCTGTGACCGCGCAGGGACCGTCTGCAAGTTGCAACACCGAAAAAAAACGTGAAAAATAAATTCAATCGCTATACAAAGGACACGTGTAGTGTAATCAAAAGCAAACTTCTGATCTTAAGTTTTGTCCGGAATTGAAGGTATCACTTTTAAATGGTTTCAAGAAGACTAAAGTAACGAAACGGTTATTTCGTTCCACGTGGCAGACCCTTCAAAATAAATCCCCCTCGAGCTGAAACAACAAACTGAAGAAGACTTTCTTGTCCAAGATCCACAATGCGATTATGTCACCTGACGAAACCAATCGAACTCACCCGAAGAGTCACGTAGCTCACCGGTCCTTGGAGTCTGATGAGTCGAGTTAATGAATTACATTTGGACGGCCTGTTCTGCTGCTGCTGCTCATGTCTTCCGTCCATTAACCGTTCTCTGCACAAACACAGAAAAGGTGAAAGGTCAGCAGCCTTCGCTTTTCATCTACACACCCCTAAACTGCTACCCTACTTTAAATTAGAAAACGCGATAAAAAAAAAAAAACAGACAATCTGCTCGGATTCATGTAACTGAAATATTTACTTTGTCAGATGTTTGTGTAATTGAGCGAAGGTGATGCATTCACGGTCATGTCGGGATCCTACACAAGACACACTCAACACAATTACAAGTACGGTGTTGTGGTATACAAAAATACCTTTTCGATTCTAAATATAAACACCCCACACCCACCCACCCCAAATTAATCAATAAGATATATAGATTACCTTGTGACATACAGTCTAGTTCTTCCGGGATACATTTTACAATTATAGCTGGTAAAAGATTGGAACAATTTGGTAACTAGATTTACAAAAGATTAAAAAAGGATTTGTTAAAATGATGCCAAAGTTTTCAGATAATAGCAATAAACTTTTGTTCATTTCACTAGTTACCGTCCAACAAACAAATAGTCCGAGATGCCTTGAAAGCACCGGGTATGGCATCACATCGCAACACAATTTTTAAAGACACAGCGCCATTGGTGAGCTCTGTCAACATTGGCTTTAAACATGACAGCAAGATCTGTGCCTAATATTTGTAATTTTTCTTTCTCGTTATTTTTTTGACAGTGTCGCATAATAGGGAATTTAAAACTTCACTCGTGTGATACTTTATCTTATATTGATTTAATTAATCCATTCATTTAGTCTGAAATCGTTCGCTTAACAATTCTAACGCTCACTTTAGTTAATGGTAAGTTTGATCATTGCAATGCAAAACTCTCCAGTCAGGAACGATTCCAGACTCTGGAAGAGGTGTAGAGTTTTCATTTCTATCTATCTGACTTTTATGTTTTAATCATGTTTGCACAAAAAGTCTTCGAAACAAGGTAAAATAGATCTTCCAGATGATGCATGAAACTTTTTCGAAAAAAAAAAGTGGAATAAATATAGAAGATAATAAAGGTGACAAATTTTAAACAAATGTATTTATATTGAGCACATTCAATTGCAAGAGATGTAAGCTGAAATCACTGTATATTGCAGGGGGAACGATTCCTCTCTCTCGCCTGGGACAACCCCCCCTTTTCTCCTTTTGATCTTTTAGTGTAAAAAAACTATTTTTTTTTTACATTTAAAAAATGTTTAGCATTTCTAGGTTGGGCGTGTTCAAGCAGATCCTTTCTCTGATTGGTTGGTTTGCTGCTTGCTGTGTTGTGATTGGTTGGCCTATGGTTGGATTTGCGATGTGGGGAGGGCCGGTCCCCGGCCGTGTAATCATTTCTGAAGTCATCATGGCGGTCAGTGCGACATTAAAAGGTAAAAATGAGCCTTCTGTCAACGCTCCTCAGACAACTTTTAGTGGTAAACCTAAGTAATCTAACCGAAATCGAAGCGGGCTTAAAACGGCCTCCTAGCCGGTAGAGGAATCTCCGCTTGTGTCATGTCAGCGTTATATAAAATGCTTCGGCCTCAGATAAGCTAGCATGTAGCCTGTAGCTTCTCTGATGACTCTGATAAGAGCTCGTCTGAAAACGCTAAAGCCGTATAACCGTGGTGTAATTTATTTTAAACCAGTGCCACCAACCTAACCGAAACGCATGTTGCTTGTGTTATAGCTAAAGGGTTGTTGTTATCTCTGGAAGACGTTCAGCTCGATAAGTTCACTGCGCCAGTGTGTTTCACGATAAGTGGCTAACAGGTTAGCAGCTGCTAGCCGAGCACCTTTCTCTCTCTCACCTTGTTTTTACGCTATGATGTTTTATTTGTAAGCAGATGCTCACCATTTCACAATGGACCTTTACATCCATTATAATATTTCCACTTTTCTGTGTGGTTCTTGAAAAGTGTAAAAAGTGCGTCTTTCTTAAAAAATAAATAAATTGTTTAATAAACTGATGACTTTAGCCTGTCTATAACAGTAAATAAAGATCAAACCCTTAATAATAATAATTGCTTCATCTATGATCATGCATCACGTTTGAATTACATTTCATTATGTTTTGCTTTTTTTTTCATAACACTGACCGACTGCCCTGAACATTAACGTTCAAATTAAAGTATAACCTCTACATAGATCATGATGTTGCTAAATAAATAATTTTGCTGCCACATTATCAAACCATTTTCATTAATGTTAACACAAAAACACTTAGTACTAAGAATCAGACTTCCTTTAGTGGAAAAAACTAAATGGGAAATTTTAATGAAGTATTTTTCCATGTCTGAATAAATATGTTGTTTTTTCCAGTTTAAATCAGTCTAAATCCATTTATCTGCCAGTTTGGTTCATCCATTTCCTCATAGTGACAGTTATTTAATGAACATTCAGTTTGAAGTTTTGCTGTAATTTTATTAATACTAGTGAAGATTTTGTCTCTATAAGATTTCAACATGGAAAAAAAGTTATATAGTCCACTATTAATGTGTATTTGTATTTGCACTTTGACATTATTTTTCATTTATTCCACCATTGCCTCTATTGAGCTGGGAGCATAATGTGTTTCCTGTGTGTCCCTCTTTCCTGCTGCTACTCTCTCTCCAGTGTCTGTCAATAGGTGGTATTTTTTTGTTCATGACAAAAAGGCATGTTTGCTTCTGTAAGGAGAACATACCTGAAAGCCAACATAGTGGTAATTTCAATGTGTAAATCAAGCTGCTGTACAGATTAAAAGCTGAAGGATGTTTGTGAACGAATGAAATTAGATCTGCTAAGGAAAGTCTATCAGATGGTGGCAGGGTCTCTTTTATTAATGATCAAACTTGTCCCTCTTAATTAGCTCTCTATATAGGTGCAATTATTGATACTTTGGTAATTATTCTTTCTCTTTGAAATGATAATCTCAAAAAGGAGATACTCTTACAAAACTACCATACTTCAGTCAGAAAGTGAACATGAACTAGCATTTTACAGAAAAAGGTTTTATCTTCAATCCAAAGTGTAAATATTTTCAATACAGCTTTGACTAAAGTTCTGCCCTGAGTTGTTCTTTAATTAAATGGTTTGTGTTTAGAGCCTGATTTTGATAACAGATTTTTTTAGCACTAATCTATCTAACAATTCTTTCGTTTTATGGTTAAAGGGCTGAATTAAGTCTTATTAAACTTAATTTCTCATGTGTCTTATGGTAACCTTGAGTATGGAACAGTTTTAGGCTAATATTTCGAAAAAGAAAATCTAAAACTTGTTCCAAATTCCTCTAGTTATAGCAAAAGCCACAGCTAGTTTCAGGTCTAACAGGTTATGACATATAGTCATCATTACATGGATAATATCTTTTACATATATTAGGATTTTGATTAGTCATGCTATCTGCTGCAGTAGCCTGCAATAATTTACAGCTTTTCAATAAAAGTAGGGCAAAAACAATGAATCGCATTAATCGTGATTTATCAATTATTGAAATAATCGTCAACTAATTTAATAATGGATGAATCATTAAATGGAATATAGAGATTTTAAAATGTGGCTTTAGCTGACAGAGCGACCCACTTAGAGCAGTAATATATTTACAAATATCAAGATTGTAGAGAAATATATCAACATTTTGCATTCAAGATAAAAAAAAAACTTTTCAATCTAATAGTATGTTCTATCCTGAACTCCTCGATTGGAAAAGTTTTAGTTTCACCTGGTTTAATTTCATAAAAAGTATTCTTTTGTACCTTTTTCTATGTGATTATTAATCAATTATTGAAAAATTAATCAGCAGATTAATCGAATTGCAGAATAATCATTAGTTGCAGTCCTAAATAAAAGAAAAAACTCTTGTTGATTCCACACAATTTCTTCAGTTTAAGTCAGACCTTTGATATGCAGCCATCGGAAATGTGTGAAGTCAAATCTTAGCAGTTTTTAGCCGGCTTCCTTTTAAAGCCCATTTCTTTCAGGAAAGCTTACCATACCGGTTTAGAAATGTCATGGTGCAACTCCACCATTCTGTTGAGTCTGTTCACAAGAAATGCTGTGGATAAATCAGATAAGGCTTCCCCAAGTGTGCCTGTTTCTCCTGCTTATCATCTGCTTTGCAGGAATGTTGCTCCTGTCTGTTTACAATAGTGAACAATTGCAAGGATGCCTCTGTACGTTCTCTCATGTTTGCACAGTTTGCTTTGAAAAGTATCATGCTGAACAGCGGAAGGCAAGTGTTTGATGCCCATCTTAGGCTCAGGAGGCTTTTCACCATTTGGACTTTTCATTACGTTTCACACTTGCATGATTTTAACCTTTCTTTCTTTTCCTAAATCCTCATTGTTTCTACAAATGCTGAAATGTTGAACTGTTTTAATTAAGGGGCTTTAGCAGTGTGTTTTTACTAAATCTTATTACAAGTGGCTATGGTTAGAAAAGGGTTAGTAAATGTTCATCTTGATCTAGATGTTAATACCTCCTCTACAGAGCACCCCTACGCCCATCTAATCGACACGTTAAAAGATGGCATCAAGTTCTTCAACCCCCGTAAATTAGGCGACCCAAGATACGGTGAGTTCAGGCCCTCCAACCATGTCTGTGTTAACATTCAGCAGTGACCAGAAGCAGGCAGGTCAATGCTTCTTCTTCTTCTGTGTTGGTGGCCTGCAGACAAACTGCCTCTGTCCATCCGGATCTTACTGGAGGCGGCGATCCGTAGCTGCGATGGCTTCTACACCAGAGAGAGGGATGTGCAGAACATCCTGGACTGGCAGCTGCAGCAGGAGAAGGCAGAAGTGCCGTTCTCTCCAGCGCGAGTCCTCCTCCAGGACTTCACGTGAGTTGGTTGACAAATAAGGAAACGGAATCTGTTTTAACTCGTTGAATGGAAACAAAAGAACTTAAGCTTTGGTTTCTATCAGGGGAATTCCTGCTATGGTGGACCTGGCAGCCATGAGGGACGCTGTGGCCAAACATGGCCTGGACCCTAATCTAGTTAACCCTAAATGTCCCACGGACCTTATCATAGACCAC